GAAGGACAACTTGTTGTTGGAACGAGCAGCGACAGAGGATTGGACATAAGGCTGAAGCTTAAGAAAGACCCAATCACCAATATTGAAGGAGCGCTCAGTGTGATGCTTGTCAGCCTGGCGTTTCATACGGTCTTGAAGCGATGAAGGTGTTCTTGAACCAAGCGCCAGATGAGAGCTGTCGATCACCCATTGCAAGTTCAGAACCGGAGCCTGACAGCAGAAGATCCGATCCAACAACCGTGTGGTGGAAAGCCATATAACACTTCAAATGGAGAGCGACCCAAAGCGGAGTGGAATGAGGTATTATACCAAAACTCAGCCACGGAGAGCCACTGAGACCATTGCCGAGGACATGAATGAACAAAACAGCGAAGGAAAGTCTCCATGCACTGATTCACACGTTCAGTTTGTCCGTCCATTTGGGGATGATATGCGGAGCTCATTCGAAGATTGGTACCGGCCAGCTTGAAGAGCAATTGCCAAAACTTACTGGTGAACAGCCGGTCCCGATCCGAGATAATGGCCAGTGGTAAACCATGTAACTTATAGACATTGTCCAGGAAGGCCCGAGCCACAGATGCAGTAGACAGCGGGTGGCGCAAAGCAATGAAATGGGCAAACTTAGAAACTTGTCAACAACCACCATGATAGCATTGACAGCACCAGATAGTGGCAACCCTTCTACAAAATCCATTAAGATCACCTCCCAGGATGCCTTGGGTATAGGAAGAGGTTGGAGGAGACCCGGATAACTGCTGCGATCAGGCTTAGCTTGGGCACAGACAGCACAAGACTGCACATACTGACGAATGGCAGCCCGCATACCATGCCAATAAAAGAGCTGACGGACCTTGGCAAAAGTCATCGGGAAGCCGAAATGACCACCCACAGCGCTGTCATGGAGGGCTAAGGTGACCGTGATCTGCAAGGCGGAATTGGAGCCCAGCCAAATGCGGCCTTTGTATAAGATAACACCCTGGCGCAAACTGAAATGAGGTCGAGCCGCAGAATCAACAGCTAACTGAGCAAGCAAAGCTGTGGCTTCCGAGTCTGTAGTATACCACTGTTGCAAGGAAGCCAACCAATCATGTGTGGGAGAAGACAAGGCCAACAGAATTTCGAGATGTGGTCGCCGGGACAAGGCATCTGCAACAGTATTCTCCTCACCCCGACGATAGACAATCTTGTAGCGAAGCCCCAACAATCGAGTAAAGACCTTTTGTTGCCAGGGCGTGTGTAGTCGCTGTTCATTGAGGTGAATGAGACTCTTCTGGTCAGTGTGCAAGATAAACTCAGATCATGGCAGAGTAATGTCGCCAAGCATCCACCGCCATAAGAATTGCCAAATACTCTTTTTCATAGACGACGGATTGCACGATTATGCGAGGCCCCAAGGCCTTACTGATATAAGCCAAAGGATGTCCTCGCTGCTGTAGAACCGCTCCCACACCCACTCCAGAAGCATCGGTTTCAATCTCAAAAGGGATGGAGAAATCAGGTAAGGCCAACACTGGAGCTGAGGATAGTGTTGTCTTAAGTGTCAGAAAGGCAGACTCATGAATGGAAGTCCATACAAAGAGGGCATCCTTTTTGAGCAAATCCGTCAGTGGCTTGGCAATGATCCCAAAATTACGGACGAACTTCCGATAATATCCGGCCAATCCAAGGAATCCGCGAAGATCACGGACGGAAGTTGGTGGCGGCCAATCCTGGATGGCCTGAACCTTGGCCGGATCGGTGGACAAACCGGAGCTGCTGATCACATGGCCCAAGTAAGAGACTTGCCTTTGAGCAAACTTGCACTTGGAAAGCTTAATCTTCCAGTTCTCTGCGGCCAGCCACTGAAAAACTAGAGCAACATGTTGTACATGGGCTTCATAGGAACGGCTGTAGATCAAAATATCATCAAAAAAGACTATCACAAAGCGGCGAAGCCCAGGAGCCAATGTCACATTCATAGCACCTTGAAAGGTTCCTGGAGCTCCAGTTAAACTGAAGGCCATAACTCTGAATTCATACTGACCGAGATGGGTCTAAAATGCGGTCTTGTGCTCTTCACCCGGTTGAAGCAAAATCTGATGGAACCCCGCACGAAGATCCAGATTAGTGAACCAACTGGCATGAGCTAACTCATCCATCAACTCCTCGAACACTTGCACTGGAAACTTGGACTTCGCGGTGAGAGCATTGAGGTGCCGAAAGTCGACACAGAACCGGTACGAGCCATCCTTCTTCTTGACCAACAGCACGGGCGAAGAGAAGGAACTAGAGCTTGGCTGTATGATTCCTTGAGAAAGCATCTCATTGACCTGTCGCTCAATTTCATCTTTGAGGCTCGGTGGGTATCTGTACGGGCGGATGTACATAGGACTAGCATCGGGCAACAGCGGGATAGAGTGGTTACATGCTCGAGAAGGCGGCAACTCCACTGGTGGAGAGAACAAATCAGGAAAGGAATCAACCAGAGCTTGGATTTCCACTGGCAGTTCCTGAGCAGCAGAGGAAGATGCAGCACTAGAATCTGGAACCGGGCACAGCTGAAGAAGCAACTGACCGGGGCACTCCTCCTCATCCAGACCTTGCAACAGCACAGAAGCACCATGATAGGGAATAGAAAACCACTTCTGTTGCCAGTGAACATGCATTGGGCTGAAGGCAGCCAGCCAGTCCATACCCACAATAGCATCAAAGGTTGACAATGGAAGTATTCTGAAATCAGAAATGAATGTGCATGTGTCCAGTGTCCACGGCACATTGCGGAGGATGCCGGAGCTCAGCAACAGGCCACCACCAGCAACTTGCACTTGAGTGGACTGCGGAGTGATCACTGCTGACGACAATTGGGCTGCCAAGGATTCACTGAGAAAAGATGATGAGCTACCAGAGTCAATCAATATTAAAGCTGGATGCCCACCGACTGTCCCAGCAAACCGAATAGTACGGGCCGCAGAAGCACCAAGAGCAGCAGCTTTGGAAATGGCCACAAACAACTGCTCGGGTACCGGCTTCTCCAGAATTTCAGAACAGTCAGCTTCTGAGGAATCAAACGAGTCCCAAAGAGCTTCCACGGCAAGTAACACCTCAGGATGGCATGTATGGTCTTTACTCCACTTGGCACCACATTTGTAACAAAGACCCAAAGCCCTCCGATAAGCTTTGACGGCCTGAAGCTTGGGATCAGCATTGGAAGACTGCTTGACTGCAGGAGCCGCCACCGTAGGACCAGTAGCAGGGGCTGGTCCCTTGTCAGCACGGGGTGGCGGAGGAAGAGGCAATGGCGTCCGGGGAGAATGCTGGAATTTGGATGTCGTATACCAATCACCCGAACGAGGCTGTCTGGTCGGAGCTGGAACCCCTGCCTCCTCCTGCAACAATGCCAGAACACAAGCAGCATCGAGGTTTTGCGGACGCTGAACCAACACAACGGCTTTAATCTCGGGAAACAACCCATCGATAAAGCGCATGGTGTAATAGACAGGATTTGTAGAATTGGAATAAGCAGACAGTTGATCCACGAGTTCAGTAAAACGTGTGACATAATCAGAGACAGAGGTAAGCTGTTTGATGGAAAACAGCTTACGGATCAACAGCTCATGTTGGTCACGATTGAAACGATCATGCAACAATTGACAGAAGGTAGACCAAGTTGCTGAACGAAGTTGGGACTCGATGGATTGGAACCAGCGTGCTGCAGGGCCTTCTAGATAGTGTTCAGACACGCTAATCCACATAAACTCCTCCACACCATACATAGCGAAATACTTCTCACAGCGACGACGCCACAAGCGGGGATTGTCACCGTCAAACTTGGGGAAAGGAAGCTTAGGAAGGCGACCTAACACAGAGGATGGAGAATAAGGGTCGGCTGGCTTGTGGTGAGCGAAATTGGAAGGAATAGTATGATGTGGTGGAAAAACTGGTGAAACTGAAGGAATGGAAAAAATGGGAGGAGGCGGAAGTGGAGAAGTAATATTTGGGTGGTGTGGATGGAATTGGGCAAAATTGGAGGGAACCGGAAGGGGAGAAGAAAATTGAGGGTGAATGGAATTGGTGGGATGAGAACTCAGCGAATTGGAACACGGCGGATGAAAGCTAGGTGGATTTAAGCGGAGGTGGGGAAAATGATCAAGGGCGGAAAAGGAGGGTGAAAAGTGGGCTGAACCGGCCAAATTGGGGGCGAGGTGGTACGATAACGGGAGGAGGACGATCCAAGGTGACAACAGACGAAGAAGGCGGAGGAGGAAGAGGAGTGGACGTCGTACCGTTGGCCGGGATATGGCTCCAGGTCGTGACGACCCCGGATCCAGTATCCCGTGGAATCGATGGAGAGCTGAGCCCGTTGGTTCCCTCGGTGGGCGAGCCGGGAACTGGCCGCGCGGGTGCCGACGACGGGGACGGGAAGGGGCCGAGCGGGAGAGTGGACGAGGCGCCCTGCGTGTGGTCCCAGTGGTCGGAGATGCGCTTCACCTCGAGGCGGAGATCGTCCACGAGCGCTTCGACCGCCGGCCGCCAAGTCCCGAGGTCCGAAGCCGCCACCTCCAACGCCGTGGACGCTGTCGCCGCGGACGTCGGTGGAGTTGGCGAGCCGGATCGAGTCCAAGTCGGAGCAGGCAGCCTCCAGGGTGGCGAGGCGGCCGTCGACCGCCGAGTCGTGCGCGGCGCGGTCGCGATCCAGATCGGAGAAGCGCCGCTCCCACTTCGCATCTTGTTCGTCGAACCAGCGATTGAGCTCGTCGAGGACCATTTTCAGGTTGGGATCCATGGCACCCTGAGCGCGGTGGAGCCGGGTGAAGTGGTCGTGCGACTGCGGTGGCGTGGAATCCAGATCGGCCTAGTCTGATACCAATTGTGAGACTAAACTACGAATTGTATGCTTGATGAAGAAGAAGAACAAGTAATGTATGCTAAGTGCTTCTATTACAGAAAAGAGTATTCAGTTGCTTCTGTGCTATCCTCCTCCAATCCGGCACTTTGGCTCATATACACGCTAAACTTGCCACATGGGCCCGAGCACCCTGGAGTTGGGCCGCGTCTGCCTCTTGGGCCTTGGCGAAGGAAAACCAAGTCCCGGTCCATCAGCGGCATCACCGGCAGTGGCATCAGGTGTGCTGCTCACACTCTACATCTCCGTCGCGCTCGCCACATACATCCTCGACATGATCATCGTGCAGAGGCAGGCCAGCTTCTCGCGCGCCGCCTACGCCGCGTCGGCAACCGGGCTCCTCGTCCTGCTCTTCCTCCCCCTCGCCGTCGTCGTCAGGCAAGAGTACCGGATCAAAAAGGAGCTCGAGGACACTCCGAGTCACGCGCCCGCCGTGATGGTGACGGTCGTTGAGAAATCCACCGCCATGCCATTGGCCGAGCCAGCGAGCACCACTACTACCGATACGCCACCGGCTTCCTCTTGCCTGGGCTCCTTCTTGCGGCACACGTTCAACCCGCCGGCGCACGGCGTGGACTACTCCATCCCGCAGGCGCTGGGGCAGATCGGGCTGTCGCTGGGCTACCCGCCCAAGAGCGTGGACGCCTTCGTCTCCCTCATCAGCGTGTGGAACTACGCCGGCCGCGTCACCGCCGGGTACGCCTCCGAGGCGCTCCTGTCGCGGTACGGGTTCCCGCGGCCGCTGGCGCTCACGCTCGTCCTCCTCGCGTCCTGTGCCGGGCACCTCCTCATCGCCTTCGGCGTCCCGTGCGCGCTCTACGCGGCGTCGGTGCTCATCGGCTTCTGCTTCGGTGCGCAGTGGCCACTGCTGTACGCCGTCATCTCCGAGCTGTTCGGGCTCAGGTGCTACCCCACGCTCTACAACCTGGGCGCCGTCGCCAGCCCCGTCGGCGCCTACGTGCTCAACGTGCGCATCGCCGGCCGGCTCTACGACGACGAGGCCGCGAGGCAGCACGGCGGTGGATCGCTGGGCGCCGCCGCTGGGGACAAGGCGTGCTTCGGTGTGGAGTGCTTCCGGACGTCGTTCCTCGTCATCACGGCCGCCACGGTGGGCGGCGCGCTCGTGTCGCTGGTGCTCGTGTGGAGGACCAGGGACTTCTGCAGGGGTGACATATACGCCAAGTTCAGGGACGGAGTGGTGGTGAAGGAGTCGCTGGCTGATGGTGGCCCGTCGGCGGCGGAGCAGCGGCCGAGCGAGGAGGGCAGTTGAGGTAGAGTGAACGGAGGTCAACGAGATGACTAGTGTTTGTGTTGACTATGTCAAAGCTACAATGCCACAAATTTTGTTCAAATGGTTGAATTCCTTTTAAAAGACTAGAACCTAGTAAAATATTGCAATTTAGGCATGATCAAGACATCATCACCTGATTTGTTTAGAGTATCTGTAAATAGCATATAGATTTCTAAAGTCTGAAAATATGTTTTTGGATCTTTGAAGTTAGTTTGGGTCTCATCTAGGTACAAACGGACGTTTACCAAATCCGGTAGCTGATGTGGCATTGCTGACTCGGCGCTCACAAGGATGTGACATATGGACCGAAATGTCAGCGAAAAGGCTCAATCTTAGAAAAATGGTATCTGTTTCACATGACCTCGGGCGAAAATGATTCTTATATAAAAATGGTAGCCCTCAATGAGATCTATAACTTTCTAGTTTTGAGTTTTTTCATTTAACATCATTAAGCTGGTGAAAAAATATTATAAAATTTCAATAACATATTAATCACGTACAAACTTGAAGTTGTAGCACTCGACCAGATCTACAACTATAAAGTTTTGAATTTTGTCATTTCATATCGTTAAGGTTGTCAAAAAATAATATAAAGTTTCATCGGCATATTAATTGCGTACTAGGGCTTTTCGCCTAAGAAAATCATATCTTTCTTGTATGTGGTTGGAAAAGATACTTTTATATGAAAATTATAGTGTTCGATGAGATCTAAAACTTCAGGTTTCACTTATTTGGTTGGCTTTCTGCCTTTTGCCTGTAGGAGCACTTTTCAGAAGCCCAACCAAACAAAGCCTCAGCACTTCAACCCGAAGGATGACATTCTCACAGATTTCAAATCTAAAAGTTGGGTTGAACCACTTTGTGCTGGTAAAGACTATTTTTTCCCATAGAAGAAACCAAGTGATACTTTAACCTCCAGGTTATTGACATTTTAATCATGATTTTGGGAGAGTTCCACATAAAAGTTGTTTTTTAGAAATAAGGGGAATAGCTTTGTGGGTTCTAATTGATACTCCCTCTCCATTTGAAATTATAAGTCGTTCTAGCTTTTCTAGATACATTGTATAATCTATGTGTCTAGATATAGTGTATATCTAGATGCATATCAAAAGCTACGTATCTACAAAAGTCAGAACAGCTTAGAATTTGAAATGAAGGCATTAGTTATGAAGCCAAACAAAGATGATCTCAAAGAAGCCTTACTAGGATTGTTCAAGTGTGCAACATAGACCGAGATTTAAATATTATAAGGAAACCAAGAGAGAAGAATAATGATATATATAATTACAGGTAACCTTGCATTTATAGTCTGGATTTGAGAGAATTAGATCTCTTTGGGCGTCGCCTTGTGCTAATTCTCTAAGGATCTATTTGGTAGAGATCTGCTCCTTGATTCTTCGATGGAGTGATTCTAGTTGATTCCTACGTGAGAACAGGGTGGGGAGCATACAAGAGTAGATTTTGTAGTGATTCTGGTGGGTTTTGAATAGGGAGCAGTGATGAGCGGTTTTTTTTTCTACCAGCTTACAGTGTAAATAGAAAATTGACTTTTGTCTGCTCCCCATGAACCTGTGTGAGATTTTGTTGTTTGCCTATAAGGGGTGATTCTCATGGAGAATATGCTTCAGGGGGCCTTGCCAAACGCCCCATAAATACATAGGCCTTTGAAAGGTCGTATAGAGTTTTAGTAATCACAAAATGGGAGCAAAACTTCCCATTATCAATAGTTCACATAGTCCAAGCATCACTACGCCAGATTCTTACAGCAGGAACGGGAGCATTTTTACTGTAGGGACAGCTGGGGTTGGGGGCGCCCCTATAGTGGGCGTCCTCGGGCCCCAGCAGCCCAGCCGCTCCTACAGATGGCACTGTAGGGGCGGCTGGTAACCTGAGCCGCCCCTACAGTTGGGGCTGATCTGTAGGGGCAGCTTAATCACCAGCCACCACTGCAGTGCCCATTTATTTTTTTTTAAATTTCAAAATTTGAAAGGTTCAAATTTAGTCAAATGACAAGATAACCAAAATAAAAGTTGTAGATCTTGATGAGTTGAACAACTTTTGTATTCATCACTTTTACAGATGAAATCATTTAGGGTTTGAAAATTTGGTTTGAACTAATCAAATTTTAAATTTTAAAATGTGTAAAACATTGTCACATCAAAGTTTGATCAAACTTAAATGCTGAAGCATGATTTTAGAATTTTTTAGAAAAAAAAAACCATCACATTTGGAGTTAGTATGAAGAAGAACAACTAGTTACAAAGTTTACCCACAGATTACAAAGTGAAATCACACTGTTCTAGATGATCCTTCCATGATCATGGTGAACAGTGTGATTTCTTTTTTTAATTTGTGGGTCAACTTTGTAACTAGTTTTTCTTCATCATACTAACTCCAAATCTGATAATTTTTTTTCCTAAAATTTTCTAAAATCATTCTCTATCAATTTATTTGGTTGATTTTGTCAATATATACATATGAAAAGTTCGAGCAATTTAAATTTTGAATTTCAAAAAAATGCAACTTCAGACAAGATTTTGGTTCCCCAAATGATTTCAGCTGAAAAAGTGATAAATATCAAAGTTGAATAACTCATCAAGATCTACAACTTTTGTATTGGTCATTTGTTCATATGATAAAGTGGTAACGATATTGTTCACAAAAGTGACACATCTCTCATAAGGTTTTATAAACTACATGAGACATGTGTAAGATTAGTAAACAATGTGTGCAAAGAATTTGTCAAATGAAGAAATGACCAAAATAAAAGTTGTAGATATTCATGAGTTGAACAACTTTGGTATTCATCGCTTTTTATGTTGAAATCAATTTGGGTCCCAAATTTTGGTTCGAACTTGTCGTTTTTCAAAATTTCCAATTTAAAAGGTTCAAATTATGTCAAATGATAAGATGAATAAAATAAAAGTTGTAGATATTAATGAGTTGAACAACTTTGGTATTCATCACTTTTTATGTTGAAATCATTTTGGGTCTCAAGTTTTGATTCGAACTTGTCATTTTTTAAAATTTCAAATTTGAAAGGTTCAAATTTTGTCAAATGACAAGGTGACCAAAATAAAAGTTGTAGATCTTGATGAGTTGAACAACTTTTGTATTCATCACTTTTACATATGAAATCATTTATGGTTTGAAAATTTGGTTTGAACTTGTCAAATTTCAAATTTTAAATTTTAAAATGTGTAAAACATTGTCACATCCAAGTTTGATCAAACTTAAATGTTGAAGCATGATTTTAGAAATTTTTATGAAAAAAAAATCATCACATTTGAAGTTAGTATGAGGGAGAACAACTAGTTACAAAGTTTACCCACAGATTAAAAAGAGAAATCACACTGTTCTAGACGATCCCTACATTTTGTCAAAGGAACTTGCTCACAGATGCTACCTTCCTTGCTGATGCACTAGAGAGGGAGTATGGGTTAAGGGTAGCACCAGGTAATCAACTACAATGGCTAACTACATAAAATCTACAAATGTATAACACTGAGGCATTGGACTTACGCTATGATGATTTTCATGTGAAAGCAACCGCTACTGTTCCAATAATGTTGAACTATGTTTTTCATGTGAATTGAGACATTGAACAATGTGCAATGATGATTTATTTTTTATGCTACACTTGACCTGAGGCTTTGGACTTATGCTATGATGATTTTTTATGATACTACACTTGAACTGAGGCATTGGACAAATGCAATAATAATTTTTTGTGATACTACATTTGACCTGAGGCTTTGGACATGAGCAATGATGATTATTTGTTTATGTGATACTTTAACTGAGGCTGGAGGCATGTGCAATGATGTTTATTTGTTATTGGCTTAATTTACCTGAGGTTGCAGGCATGTGCTATGATGTTTATTTGTTACTGTCTTAATTTACCTGAGGTTGCAGGCATGTACTATGATGTTTATTTGTTACTCTCTTAATTTACCTGAGGTTAGAGACATGTGCAATGATGTTTATTTGATCTTATTACAATCTGAGTGGGGTGTGCCAACTAAACTAAGGGATGGCTGAGGAGATGAATGTTGACATGCTTGCACCTGAAGAGCTTGTGTTCCCTAGGATTGGTGCTCCTACTAGGTTTGCTGCTGTTGGGGCTGGATTGCCTGCTGGGGCTGTAATGTTATTTGTTCAACTAAGGTTGAGGATTCCCACCCAGAGCTGTATGGGGCTGTGATGTTCATGCTTGGATTCGCTGATGAGGCCACCTTCTTGACAACAAGCCCTAGGGTACTGCTTTTGTGAACATGAATGCAGATCATCGTGTGCTGTGGTTGAGAACCTTCTTGGCCAAGCACTATTACAACTGAGCTGCTTGCTGGTCCATTGGTTGATCCATCTTTTGTGTAGTGCCTACCCTCTCCTGGTGGTATTTTGTATGCATGGTTTGGTGCAGTGGCTGCTCTCTCCTAGTGGATGCATCTGGTCTTCTCTAGTGGCTTCTTTTGTGCATAACTCACTCCTGCTGAGCTTGGTTGTGCAGTCGGCTTACCCATCTCTGTGCAGTTAACATGTTCCTGCATTCTTTTGTGCAGTTAACATGCTACCCTCTACTAACTATGGCTAACTGTGGCTTGTAGTTAGTGACTATATGCCACTACACCCTTGCATTCTTCTTTGGGTCAACCTACCTGATGCTAGTGTGTGTATTTGCCTTGGCAGTTTGATCATGTGACCCAGCCATTCATTTGAACATCTTATTGTTAACTCGTCTAAGCATATTACCTGCATTCTTCTGAGGACATGTCTGTTGCCTGTGATGTGTTTTTCATATAACTGAGCACATGTCTGTTGCCTGTGATGTGTTTTTCATGTAACTGAGCACATGTCTGTTGCCTGTGATGTGTTTTTCATAGAACTAAGCACATGCCTCTTTGCCAATGATGCTTACACATGCCTTCTGGTGGTATTTTTGTTACTACACTTTACCTTTTATGCAGCTATGGCATAGT